TATAATATGTAGAAACTAGGTACAGCAGGAGATTAGCAACAATAGCTAATGAAAGTAGAATAATTATAGCTAAAGAGATGGCTCCAGCACTTCTTGCTTGTCCAGAGGACCCAAGTTCAATTCCCAGCAACCATGTCAGCTTGCTCACAAACTGCCCATAATTCTAGCTCCTAGGGGATCAAACACTTCTGGCCTCTACAGGCACCTGCATTCATGTGCACATGTCTACACACAGACAGACACATAAACACATAATTAAAATTTTAAATCTTTAAGAAAAAAAATAGAATAATTATATCAATATACTATAATAAAACTTAATGGTGTGGTTTCTTTCTTGAACTTAATCAAGACAATATTTTCAGACTGTAGTTGATTGCAAGTAACTAAATCTGTGGAAAACATAAAGAGGGAAAGCTACTGTTTAATAGACCTATGTGATATTATGTACATTTCTGTGATACATCTAATTATCACTAATTTTGCTTTACTTATGTTAATGAGACTATTCAGCTGATTAGAACTTATCTATAGTTGATTTATGTACTTATTTTCAGAACAACTCTCCCACCTATGTGTTTATGGATTTACATCAATACTTGGACAACATATTGGTGTATCTATCTGAACTCATATGAATGTTTTACCTGCATGTATTTAAGTGTACCTGTGTCATGCAATGTCCACAGAGGCCAAAAGAGGATGTCATATCCCTTGGAACTAGAGTTTCAGACACTTGTTAGCCAGGTCCCCTGCAAGAACAGCTAGTTCTCTTACCCACTGAGCCATCTCTCAAGCCCCCTCCACCTGAATTCTTAATCCATATTGTCACTGAAATGAGATGGGAATAAATAATGAGACTTTTACCATCCCACCTCCCAGATAGTAGTACTGTTCTGTTCTTAACGTGTATTTTCCACACATTTCTAAACAGTTTTATTTTCAAAGAATTTATGCTTTGTGAAGATTCTCAGGTAATTACTCTGATGTTACTTAATGTCACATACACTACTAATGATGTTTTTCCTGAAATTGCAATACTTAATGAGTCTGATATTTTCATTTCATGGTTGGGTTTTTATTTGATTTTTATTTGTCTAGTTTTGAGACAGAATCTCAAGTAGCCCAGGCTGGCCTCAAACTCTATGTATAGCCAAAGATTACCTTGAACATATGGTCTTCCTTCTACCACTTCCCAAGTGCTTGCTTGGATTATAGACTTGTACCACCACTTCTGGTTCTCATTTTTATGTTTTATTCATGTAAGATAGTTTGTTCCTTAGTTATCCAACAAACCAGTCCTAACCCTTAACTCTTTCTATGCTAGTTGAGTTTTTTTTAAAGAGTACTATGATAATATAATGCCTGCCAAACTGTGTGAATTCATACCTATACCTTGGTTCATTGCCCACAATAATTGCTGAATTAATCAATGTATTGGTTTACAAGGTTGAGCAAAGGATTTTCTAACCAGTTAGAACACCTGTCTTTTTTAGCTGTAACTTCCTTTACCCATAGGAAAGATTTTATCTGCAACTTTATAATTTTTTCATTGTCACATGTAAAATAAGACCTGTTGTCAGACATGTAAAGTAAGGCCTGTTGCCAGACTGTTCCTTTTTTTTTTTTTTTGGTCTTTTTGAGAGGGGGGTCTCTGCCCTAGAACTCGCTATGTAAACCAGGCTGGCCTTGAACTCACATAGATCCACCTGCCTCTACCTCCAGAGTCCAGAGTGCTGGGATTAAAGGTGGGCTACACCACGCCCAGTACCTTGGGTAGAACTTTAAGCAACGGTTCCTTATTTTTATTAAATGCTAAATTGCCACTTCCTACCACTGATCCTGCATGGATCAGCTCCTACAGGCAAATCAGGAAAAAAGGCCAGCATGTTAAAACAAAGTTCAAAGATTCTGTTTTCATTAATGGGTTTCTATGGCTATTTTTATGGTTTTCAGGGAGTGAAGCCAGCCAGTTTTGATAAAGTAGCAATTCCCGAAGTGAAGGAAATTATTGAAGGATGCATCCGACAAAACAAAGATGAAAGGTAAGTTGCCTCTTTTAACTTGATGTTGCTTGAACAAAAACCTGTAACATAGTGCCATCTGAGTACACCTTGCAATCTGAGGTATATTTAATACTTGTATTTTGTTTTTTCCACTTGTGCCATATAACTTTTAAAAATATTACTTTTATTTTATATGTATGACTGTATTGCCTGTATGTATGTAAGTGCACCCATGTCATTCAAAACCCATAGAGGTCAGACCCATATGGGTCAGAACCCATAGAGGTTGCAAGGTCATTGGATCCCTTGCAACTGGAGTTACAGATCATTGTTAGCAGCCATGTAAAAGCTGGGAACTGAGCGCAGGTCAATAGAACTCAGCCCAATAGAACTTTTTAAAAAGTAAGATTCTCGGGGCTGGAGAGATGGTTCAGTAGTCTTCTTGCAGAAGACCCAGGTTCGAATCCCAGCACCCACATGGCAGCTAACAGCTGTCTGTAACTCCATTCCCAGGGGATCCGACAGCCTCTTCTGACCTCCGTGGGCATTGTACAACACAGGTGCACTTACATACATTCAGGCAATACATGTGTACACACAAAATAAAAATAATAAATAAAAATATTTTTTAAAAAAGTAAAATTCAGATATTGCTATACTGTATCTGTAAAATGTGGTTTAGGATGTTTAAGTAAGCCAGAACCACCTTAACACAGTTTTCTACAGTCGGTGAAAACTACTTATAGTAAGAATATGATTTAGAGTGCTCGCTTTGGCAGCACATATACTGAAATTGTAACGATACAGAGAAGATTAGTGTGGCCCCTACACAAGGATGACACACAAATTTGTGAAGTGTTCCATTTTTTTTAAATATTATTTAGAAAACTCTACAGTAGAATTCGTTTTCTAATGCAGTAAATCCATTCCTTACTCTCGCTACGCTTAGAATTCTGAAAAGTGAAAAAATCTTGGTTGTTGAAAATAAACTCAACTATACTCTTGATTTTCCTGTCATTTTGCCAGAATTGAAGGAGAGCAAAACACCAGAATTCCTTTGAATACAAAGAGAAAGCTTCACCCAAGGCTTAGGAGGAGATCTGGCTTAGTCACTGGACTTTTCTTAAAGTATTTGATGTGTAGTATAGCTGATTCATCAACTGTAGGCTTGGCAAAGGTCCAAGATCTGTGTTAAAAAATAATCTGCCTTTACCACACCACCATACCCATCAAAAAAGAAAAAGCATACCCTACTAATGTAAATTGAGCATAACCTACCTTCCAAAGTATGGGAACAATCAGGTATTTCAGCCAAATTAAAACATTCAATATCTTCACTCTTCTAGTGTCATGCTTTTGTCATAACTGTTATTTGGAAGAGCTTGACTTTAATATTTTTAAGACATTTCAGTAGAGCCCATCATGGGGGTGCATGCCTTTAATCCCAGCACTCAGGAGGCAGAGGCCAGTGAGTTCTAGGACAGCTGGGGCTACCCTGACTCAAAAAGACCAAAAAAAAAAAAAAAAGACATTTCAGTAGATATTTAGTTTGAGTTTCTGTTTTGATATACACACCCTTGAAAACTCTTTTAATACCCTTTTCAGCCCAAACAAAGGAATATCTGTTTTGAACTGTAAAACATTATCCTACTTCTTTATTTGATTACTGATATTTTGTATAAAGATTGTTAACACTCCCTTCAGCAGCCTTATTCACAAATTGTTGACAAGGAATTTATTGCAGCAAATAAAGGTTGCTATAATAGAAAGTATCAAACTAGAAAAGGAAACCCAAAAAATTTCTGTTCTAGTTTTGATTGTATCATTTGTAGCTTTAGAACTGTGAGCAAGACTCTCAGCCTTTATTTCATAATAATCAGGAAATGGTATTTCATTAGATATTATTCAAGGATCAGACAGGATTATATAGGAGAGATGTTTGGGCTAACATGAGTGTTTATGTGGTATTTTGAAACCTTGATTTTGAATGCATTATTTGCTACACTAGTACCCCACTTATGAATAAGATTAGATAATTTGGTTTGAAAAATGTCACTATTAACTGTTACTAATAAAACAGATTATTGTTATATTCTATAATTTAAGAGTATGAGTCTCAGCTGGGAATGTAGAAGTACTTGTCTAGCATGTGCAAGGTCCTGGATTCCATCTCCAGAATACCAGGGGAAAAAGTACAGTTCTTTATCATCACCATTCAAATGGACTCACGTAGAAATGGATCACAAATTTTCTAAATAATAATAACTGCATGCACTTGAAAGTCATCCACGTGCCTGTAGTTCTAGTATTGTGGGATCTGAGGCATGAAGATCACTTGAGCCCCAAGAGTTAGAGGACAGCCTAGACAACATAATGAGATCCTGTCTAGAAAGAAAAAGAAAAATACCTTTTCAAACTAATGACTTTTTTTTTTCTTTTCCTTTCTTTGAAAGATATTCCATCAAAGACCTTTTGAACCATGCCTTTTTCCAGGAGGAAACAGGGGTACGGGTAGAATTAGCAGAAGAAGATGATGGAGAAAAGATAGCTATTAAATTATGGCTGCGTATTGAAGATATTAAGAAATTAAAGGGAAAATACAAAGACAATGAAGCTATTGAGTTTTCCTTTGACTTGGAGAGAGATGTACCAGAAGATGTTGCTCAAGAAATGGTAAATTGTTACTTAAAAGTAAATGTAAATTTATGTACAGCATTACTATAGGGCAAAAAAAAAAAGGTTTATGAAATGATGTATCCTGCATGTCATTAACATAAAATTATGTTGGCCCAAAATGTTATCTTATAGTGGGATTTTCCTATGACTTCTCTTTAAGGCTTTTCTTTGTACTTTTTAAAAAATACTATTTTTATTTCACGTATATAAGTGTATAAGTGCATCCATCTCATGCAATGCCTGCAGAAGTCAGAAGAGGGTGTTGGAGTCCCTGGAACTGGAATTAGGACAGTTGTTAGCTGCCATGTGGATGCTGGGAATCGAACTCAGGTCCTCTGCAGGAGCAACCAGTGCTCTTAACCACTGAGCCATCTCTCCAGCCCCTTTGTACTTTTTAAGTATTGTTTTGATAATATGGTTAGATTTTAGTCCTTATTATTATGAAGAAAATATGTGTAGATATAAGTGGATGAATGAGAGAGAAAGAAAATGAAATGCATTCTGAAGTGATTTTGAAAAGTCTGTGAGGATGAATGATTCCTAATTTGTAGCAGTCTCTTCAGTTAAACTTACTCTTTTTGGTTTGGGGGCATTGAGCTCATGGTCCTCCTGCCTCAGTCCTCCAAGTACTGAGATTAAAGGCATATACCATCATACTCATTTTTGAAGTAGTCTTTAAATATTGGTTAGTCTTAAGTGTTTATATGTTTGTTTTTTGAGACAGTCTCATTATATAGCTCTGGCTAAGTTGGAACTTGGTATGTGGACCAGGCTGGCGTCAAACTTGGAGAGATCGTCCTGCCTCTGCCTTCAACAGTGCTGGTGTTGAAGGCATGTACCACCATACCTGACTTATAGCCACTGATCCGTAATTACATAAATACTATAGAGGAACATAGAATTATAAATTATTTTTACTTTTATAAGGGTGTTTTCAAATTTGAAAGTTAAGTCAACCTTTGAAGTGTGTGTAAAAGATCATTTTTCTAAAGGAAACCCTTACCCAAGTTTAGGCACTTTACTGTGCCTAAAATAGCCAATTACTGTTTGAAAATAGTCATACAAATACCTTTGCTATGACTTATAAAAACCATTGCATAGTGGACAAAGGGTCAGATATGAAAAAAGTAATTTTTTTTTTGTATTGTATAAGGTTTTTGGATTTAGTTTTGTGGGGGTTTTTTGTTTGTTTTAAAGTCTAATTTCTACAACTGTTTTTTAGGGTGATTGCCTGGTGAAAGGAAGTAAAAGTAACACAAGTTAATGTGTGTATGTATATAATGTATATATAGTGTTCTACAAAAGTGGTTATAGCCACCCTTTGTGTCTACCCTATGATAATGAGGAAATGTATAGTGCAGAACAGTAATTCTACTTTTGGTTAAGAAGACTCCTAAGGCAGCTGATATAGTGGCACACATTTGTAAGCACAGCACTTAGAAGGCTAGGGCAAGAGGATTCCAAGTTTGAGGCCAGCTGTACTACAAAGTAAGACCCTCTCTGAAAAACATACACATACACCTCTAAAAAAGACTGCCTACTTTTGTACAATGCCATTGTTTGTTTGTTTTATTTTGAGGTTATTTTCTTTTGATATGCTGTTTCTTCTTCATACTTTCTCTTATTCTGTAGGTAGAGTCTGGGTATGTCTGTGAAGGTGATCATAAGACAATGGCTAAAGCTATTAAAGACAGAGTGTCATTAATTAAGAGGAAACGAGAACAGCGGCAGTTAGTGCGAGAGGAGCAAGAAAAAAGAAAACAGGAAGAGAGCAGTCTTAGACAACAGCAAACTGACCAACAATCAAGTGTTTCACAGGCAGGAATCCAGCAGCTCCTTTCTACTAGCACTGGCATACCCACTGCTCCCACCACTTCTGCTTCAGTTTCTACACAAGTGGAGCCTGAAGAACCCGAGGCAGATCAACATCAACAGCTACAGTACCAGCAACCTAGTATATCTGTGTTGTGTAAGTATTTGGGGGACATAGACAAATGTGTTGCTGATACTCTTGATTGACTAAACATATAATTAAGAAAATGTGCTTAGGATATAAGGTGATTTCAAAAGTTCCATTATTTTGACATTTCACATTTGTAGATGTCTAGTTTTCATAATTCCTTAAAATGCAAGTAATGAAGAATGAATACTTTTTACTACCTGTAATTGCAGCTATTAATCTAGTTTAGCTTTTTTAGCAAAACCACATAGCTTAAGACTAAAGGCTGATGAGAACAAGTCAGTAATTGAAATTACTGTTAAAATCAAGAGCCCACAGGTCTTCATAAGACAAGACTTTGAAAGCTAGATTTATTTAAGACTATCTTATAGTTTTGGGGATGTAGCTTATTTATTTATTTATTTATTTATTTCTTTATTTATTTATTTATTTATTTTTGGTCTTTTTGAGACAGGGTCTCCCTGTAGCCCGAGCTGTCCTGGAACTCACTATGTAGTCCTTGAACTCACAGAGATTTGTCTGCCTCTGCCTCCTAAGTGCTGGAACTACAGGCTTGTGCCACCACGCGCAGCTGACTATCTTAGAGTTTTGCTTGCTCTTCAAGGGGTAAAATTCAGTGATAACCAGAGATTTTTAAGAAAAGATTGCATTTTTTTCTATAAGTCCCATATTTAAATATACAAATTGACTTAATAAGACTGCTATTCATTTTTTAAAATTTAGCTCAGCTTTTTAGAAAGAAACAACCAATAACACTAATCTGTAATGAGTCTAAAATGTGAACTGCTCTCCTTCCTCACCTTCACCATGGTGATTCATTTCTCCTTCAGCTGATGGAACAGTTGACAGCGGTCAGGGCTCATCTGTCTTCACAGAATCTCGAGTGAGCAGCCAGCAGACAGTTTCTTATGGTTCCCAACATGAACAGACGCCTCCTACTGGCACAGTACCAGGGCATACAGCTTCTAGTGTCCCAGCACAGTCTCAGCCCCATGGCATATATCCACCCTCAAGTATGGTGAGTAAATATATAAGAAAATATACTGAAATGATAGCCAATAGGTGATCTGCCAAATACAGATTCTTTCTGCTATCCCAGGAATAATAGGAGTCTAAGGCAGAAAATATAAATGGTATAGTCAGTCTTACATAAATCTGTGGGTTCCACATTGGTGGGTTTAAATAGTAAAATGCTTTAAAAGTTACATCTGTACTGAACATGTACAGACTTTTTCTTGTCATTATTCCCCTGCAGTACAGAATAACAATTCTTTATATGGCCTTCACTTTATATCAGGTATTATAAGTAATCTAGAGAGTATATGCAAATACTGTGTCATTCTATACAAAGGACTGGGCAGCTGCAGATTTTGATATCCATAGGGAACCAATTCCCTGTGGATAATGAGGGTTGATGTTAGTTCTAAAGGCAGTCAGTTTATGAGAATATAATTGGAGTAGATTAAGCAGGGAAACATATACATTAGTGTATGAGAATTAGCCAAACTTGCTATATAAAGCAGCTACATACACCACTGATAATAGTTTGCACTTGATTAAAGGTAATATTTCTTCAGCACTTAGGACAGCATAAATGAGACCTGTCGGATGATTTGTGGGTAGAACAAGGGGAATTTTTCAAAAGCTTACTTATTAAAGTGTTTTCTGTAAGATCTTTTTTGTTTTTTTACAAAAATCAGGTAAGAACTTCAAACCATTATAGAATGTTGCATGTATTATAAAGGAACCTTTATTTGTATGACCTATGATCATTTAATTTAGTGCTTGTATTAGTAATCATCAATTGCTATGCGTTTTCCTGCCTTTAAAGCCTGTCTTCAATACAAGTTCCCTTCCCAGTATATGTTCATTTGCTTTTTCTTTTATTTGAAATCTCTTTTATTACCAATTTATTTTCAGAATTAACTTACAGAGGTTATTTCTTGGAATAGTTATTTGTATATATGTGTACATATATATGTATGTATATATGCACATTGTCCATTTTCAATAGAGAAATCACAAAATACCCATTCTTTTGCTGACTCTGTGAGGTCTTCGGAGAAAAAATTAAATCATATGCCTCAGAGCGGAATTAGAAAACTGGTCACTTTAAATTGCTTACTTAGTGAGATCTTGAAGCAGCCTGATTTTTTTTTTTTTTCTCCTTCCCAGACGGCTCTAATCTGAAAATCTTTCCCTTAAAATACTTTTGCTTACTCTGATCTTCTGTGTTACAGTTTTGAATAAAAGATGTTTGTTTTGAAGTCCTCTGCTTTGGTTAGGTCTTAAAATGAATGGCCACAATAATACAAAGAAAACTACTACTGATATATACTAACTTTATAAACAATCTGCTCTTTAAGTAGGTAAAAGAAGTTGGGCAATGCATTTCTGTAATCTGACAAATACTAGTTGTCAGCACTTTCAATTTCCACCTGAGTTATAATTTGTTGAAATAATTATATTTGAGTCATTTTAACTAGATTTTTAAAAAAATAATTATTTTTAATCTCTTGGCATCCCCATCACAGGGTTATAATCATTGGTCTATTTAAAAAAGACAAACAGTCATTTATGTAGATATTAGGTATTTGAGCCATCAGCATAGCTGTATTTATTTGGTGTTACAACGTCAGGCTTTCTTGTCTTTTAGTGACAATATTCTATGAAGAAATTATGAAGAATTATTAAATACTTAGCATATTAAAATATTTTGTATTTTCTATTCCTGTCTCATTCCAAAAAAGAACTTACTATGCTTTACAATACTAATAAGTGAAATTTTACAAATAACAAAGACAAAGGTAAAATAAATGTTACCAAAATGAAACTAAATCATGATACGTACTTGCTACTGGAAGGCTACAAATTGGGCTCAAAGCAGTCTTTGCAGCCTGATTGATTTGGAAAAGAAAATATAATTAGCTTCTTAGTTCACAGTGTCTAAATTTAAATTATTCTTTAGAGATTCAAATAGAAGGTATTTTTCCATTGTCTGCTTTATAAAAGTACAGAATATTTCTCATACTTAGTTGTGAATTTCTTTGAAAAAGCATATTTTTAATCTAGTTGATAATGACTTTTTAACCTCTGTACTGAAAGACTGGCTAGTGCAATAAAGAAAATACTGTAAGCCAACAGCTTTTTTAGTCTGATATCTTCTAAAAGAGAAGAATCTTTTTTTCAAGTTTCCAGAGCTCTTTCAAATCTACGTAAAATCTTCCAACTCTTGTTTAATCATACTAATTTTTCAAAACCATAGTTCAGTGTTTTGAATTATAGTTCATTGTTTTCTCTGTTTGCTACTTCAGTCAGTTTTTATAATCCATGCACCTATAAAAGTTGTATTACTTGAAAATACTCAAGATCATAATCTTTATTATGATTATTCATAAGAAAACCTGTACAAGAACAGTGGAATAGGAAGAATAGTTGTGATATGCCAGGTATGCTTTGTGGAATTATATTTTACCCAGACATTTTTTTTAACTTGACAGAATTGGGGAGGGTAGAACATTTTTTTATGTTAACTATGCCCTGTTATCATTGTACATTTGGTTGTTTTATTTTCAAAGTGCTGTTTTTCATGTGTGTTTGTTTTCTGTTTAGCCTCGTCGTGGCCGTAGCATGTCGGTTTGTGTTCCCCATCTTTCTGCTGTTCCCTCTCTATCCCGCATCTCTCCCAGTGCTCCTTCCACCCCACCACCAGTGCTGTCTGCGCCTCTTTATCCTTCCCTCCTTCGGACTGCCCCTGAGGAAACTTTTGCCGAAAAACTCTCTAAAGCATTGGAGAGTATCCTGCCTATGCACTCTGCCTCTCAGCGCAAGCATCGACGCTCCAGCCTGCCTTCCCTCTTTGTCAGTACTGTATGTAATTGTAAACTTCCTGACAAATGAAAGACTATTACCAATGAATACATCCAGGCATGAAGAATTTGAATAAATAAAAATACCTAAACTATTAGCTTGGTTATGTATTATCCTTTTAGGATAACAACTACTCCTTAAGAAACATTTTTGTAATAAGACTTTAAATGGGAATAAAAAGCAAAGAGGTAGTGAGAGAATGTTTAGAATATCTTCGGCACATTCAAATATAGCTTTTGTTATATTTTCCTATACACCACTGATGTAAAGTTTTTTTCATTTTTATACCATAGCAAAAAGTATGTGTATTATTTACTTTTAAGCTGATTGGCTTAATCAAAAGCAAATTTTCACCAAAGTGATTTTTCTCCTCAGTTTATTCTTAAGAGATACAACTTGAGTCCTTATTTAAAAAACCATAGTCAATGAAGAATAATTAAGGGGTAAAAGTTTAATTCCTTAAAATTTGAGTAAAAGTTGATTTTAATTCAAATGTTTGTGTGAAATGATGTACCAACAAACTAAAAGATTAAATATTCCCTTAATGGGAGATTATTTTTTTCTTAGATTGAATAGAATGGAGCATAGATTCTTATGAATATATTAGATACCACATGTTCCCTAATGGGTAGTATTTTTTTCTTACATTGAATAGGATGGGGCATAGACTTTAATAAATACATTAGATACATAACTCATGACTTTTCTTGACTCCATTAATGTCTGTGAAATACCTAACTTCTCAAATTATTTCAAGTGCTGTGGGACCTTGCCACTGCTTTTCCAAACAGAATGTAGTTAATATTCAGCTAATATTCAACTAGTGACACCAGAATCTTCAGGTTTTTATTTAGGAAAATGATTAACTGTAATATTTATGGCTTTACGACAACTTGAATAAGCAATAAAATGGGAGCATTCTGATTTGATAGAGAAATACTCTCAGCAGACTGAGGAAATGGCTCAGTGGGTGAAGTACTTGCTATGTAAGCATGAAGACCTGAGTGCATATCCCCAGGTCCCACAGAAAACCTGGCATGATAGGGCATGCCTATAATCCCCCAGTGTTCCTTTGGTGAGATAGGATATGGTAACAAGAAAATTCTCTAAAGCCCGTGGGCCCACCGGCCTGTTGTACACAGCAGCGAGCAACAAGGAGTCCCCATGTCAAACAAGGTGGAGAGGACTGAGACTTGAGGTTGTCCTCTAACCAACACGTACTTTTTTGTAGTGCTAAGGATTAAACCTGAGCCCTGGCATATACTAGGCCAGCACTCTATGATTGAACTACTTCCATAGCCTAAAAGTAATATCTTTTAATAAATCCAGTTCATATGTATTGAATTTGGTAAGCTGGATTCTAAAGTGGGTGTTAAATTCTGGAAACAAAAGGTGCTGTTAATAAGACTATTAAATGTAGTTTTTGATAGACAGGAGTAAGGCAATTTGTTTATCCTTTTGTTGTTGTCTTTTGAGACAGTGTCTCACTATATGATAGCCCAGGCTGGCCTTGTTACTCAAAAATCCTCCTGCCTCAGCCTCTTGAGTGCTAGCATTACAAGCATGCACCATTATACCTGACATTTTAATTTTTTTTTTTTCTGTCTTTTTGAGACAGGGTCTTCCTGTAGTCCCAGCTGTCCTGGAACTCACTATGTAGACCAGACTGGCCTTGAACTCACAGAGATCCACCTGCTTCTGCCTCCCGAGTGCTGGGATTAAAGGCGTGGACCACCACGCCTGACACTGACATTTTGATTTTTACTGTCTATTATAAATCTCTAATTTCTGCTATGAAAAGTTCCCTCTGATCATCCCCTAGTTGCTGAAAATACGTTGAAGGTTCTGTTAAGTCTTGAGAACCAACGTGTTTATTGTGGGTAAAATAGAATAATCATTTAGGAAGTTTAATTCATTCTTTCATTTTGAGAGATCAAAATCATGGGAAAGCAGCTCTTTTTTCTTGCAAGGAGTCCCACAGATTGACTGTATTGGCCCTGGATGTATTTAATGGATTTTTATTATACATGTAATTTCCAGAAGCATTGTTATTAATTTAAAATTTGGTGTAGCCACCTCATGGGGTTACACAGAACTATCCAGTTATGCATGTCTGATGTAATTTCACATGTTGAATGAATTACTTGTTTTATTCATGTTGATACAGCCTCAGTCCATGGCGCATCCGTGTGGGGGGACCCCAACATACCCCGAATCACAGATATTTTTCCCAACTATTCATGAACGTCCAGTTTCTTTTTCACCACCTCCCACCTGTCCACCGAAAGTAGCCATTTCCCAACGGCGTAAGAGCACCTCCTTCCTGGAAGCCCACACTCGCCACTTCCAACCCCTGCTGAGGACTGTTGGCCAAAATCTTCCACCTGGTGGCAGCCCAACTAACTGGACACCAGAGGCCGTAGTTATGTTGGGTACTTCAGCCAGCAGAGTAACTAGAGAGCTATATGAGATGCAGGTCCATCCTGTGTTTGAGCCAACTCAAATTTACAGTGACTATAGACCTGGACTAGTACTGGCAGAAGAAGCTCACTATTTTATTCCTCAGGAAGCAGTGTATCTAGCTGGGGTGCATTACCAGGCCCAGGTGGCAGGACAGTATGAGGGCATTTCATACAACTCACCAGTACTGTCAAGTCCTGTGAAACAGGTACCTGATCAGAAGCCAGTGCCAGGGGGCCCTACCTCAAGTTCTGTCTTTGAATTTCCATCTGGACAGGCTTTCCTGGTAGGACACCTTCAGAATTTAAGATTAGATTCTGGACAAAGTCCAGCATCTCCCCTTTCTAATATTTCTGCACCTAACAGTACAGATGCTACACATTTGAAATTTCACCCTGTCTTTGTTCCTCATTCTGCACCAGCTGTGTTAACTCATAGCAGTGAGAACAGAAGCAACTGTGTATTTGAATTTCATGCTCAGACACCAAGCTCCTCCTCAGGAGAAGGAGGTGGGATTTTATCTCATCGTGTTTACCGAAATCGACAGGTTGCAGTGGACTCAAATCAGGAAGAACTGCCTCCTCAGTCAGTTGGATTACATTGCCATCTGCAGCCTGTGACTGAAGAACAACGTAATAACCATGTCCCAGAATTGACCGTTTCTGTGGTAGAGCCTGTCGGACAGAACTGGCCAATAGGAAGCCCAGAATATTCCAGTGATTCCTCTCAAATCACTTCTTCAGATCTCAGTGATTTTCAGTCACCTCCCCCTACAGGGGGAACAGCTGCACCTTTTGGTTCTGAAGTCTCATTGCCCTTTATTCGCCTGCCTCAGACAGTGTTACAAGAATCCCCATTTTTCTTCTGTTTCCCCCAAGGAACCACATCTCAGCAGATCTTATCTGCCTCATTTTCTTCAGGAGGATCTCCAGTCCATCCACAGGTTATAGGAAAACTTCCACAATTCTTTTAAACTACCCTGTTTATGCACCGGTGCATTAAATTTTCTCTCTTGTTTCCCTGAATCAGGGCTTTATGAGGAATATCATTTAATTGCCTTTATGGTTATAAACTACTGTACTTAAGAACAAACTAAGAAGCAGAAGCTACCTGGTTTGCCTATGATTTTAGTCAGTCATCAGAGTCAATGATTACTTATCTCTGTGTGTGGAATTTTTAACTAGTAATGTAAGGTTGACTCAGCCTTGATTATTTAGTTATACTAAAATGATTTTGTATAATTCCTTCCTCTAAATAAGTTACTAAATATTAACAGGAAAACTAAAGCAAAAATTAAAAATAAAACCTTGTTTGGAGTTACTTTAAGAAACACAGAACTTTCATTAGGTATACTGAAGTTAAGCTAGCAAAGAAAATATCTTTGGAGTTTGGCTTAACAAATGAAGGTGTGATTTTGCGATGGTATCAATAAAACTGTATTAAATATCCAAAGA